AGAAAACAGGCCGTAGCGACAGCGTCAGCCCAAAAGGGCTTGGGAACAGACATTTGAAACATTAGGGCTCTCGCCACCTCAAGGAGATGACGATTCTTTCGTTCGGCTACTCCATTTTGGGTTGGAGTATCAACACACGAGGATTCATGAATAATACCATTTTCAAGCATATAGGACTRAACTGATTGAGACAGGTACTCCTTTGCATTATCACTACGCAAGATTTTTATTGATGTTTGAAATTGCGTTTTGATTTCAGAGTGAAAGGAACACAGATGATTAAATACTTCTGATCGATTTTTCATCAAATATAACCAAGTAGTTCTGGAATAATCATCAACAAAAGTAACAAAATATCTTAAACCAGTTTTAGACGCGACAGGACACGGACCCCAAACATCAGAATGTACTAATTGAAATGGGGACGCARCCCGCTTATTGACTCTAGGACTCAAGTGGATACGCTGATGTTTAGCAAATTGACATGACTCACATTGTAAAGAAGATAAATCGGAAAATTCAGGACAAAGTTTCTTGAGACTCTGTAAGGATGGATGACCTAGTCGACAATGTACTTCGAAAGCAGATGCAAGACTGAAACTTGTCAAGGAGTATGGTATACATTGTTCAAATATATATAGGCCATCTGACTCCCGTCCTCTACCAATAATCCTCCTCATCTGCAAATCCTGAAATACACAGTAATCAGGAAAGAATTCAACACTACATTTTAGGCCACGAGTAATTTTGCTAACYGACATTAAATTGAAAGAAAAGTTCGGTAGGCTCAGAACTATATGCAACGAGAGACAGATGATGACAGTTTAATTGTGCCTGAACCATCCACTTGGGATAGATTTCCATCAGCAACTGTAACTTGGGCTGATGGGGCATGTTTGGTAAAATCAGAGAGAAGATTAGAATTACCAGTCATATGATCTGAGGCACCCGAATCAATGACCCATTTGGAGAAGGATGACACAAGGCATTTACCAGAGTTACCTGTCTCAGCAAAC